ATCGAAAGCAGCTTCCAAGTATAGGGTACTTTTTGGACCGTGATGGGAGGAGTGCATTCCTTGAGTGGCAAAGGCCAGGGCACTCATAAATTCTTCACGACAGTTGCTGGATATTCGATTTAAAATTCACCGCCAATAATAATAAAAATAAATCATTTCCCCATCTGTTGTTCAGTTCAGTTTGTTTTCGAACCGTTTTCGTTAGCCCTGCCTAACAACTTGCTAAAGTTTATGGTTACCAAGTCCAGCTCGTCTTAATTATTTACTTTTAATATCTCCGCCTTACCCAGAAAATTTCAGTTTCATGCCAAAACGGAAAATGACACCTGGGCTTTTCATTTAGCAATAGTTGAATTCGTCGGTAAGGTCAGAAATTATGTTCTGAAGGATTTTGGGTCTGTTGGTTGAGTAAATGAGCGCAACTATAACGACATTGTTTAACCTATTTTAACATCAATCTCTAAATAAAAGTATTCGAACGTCTTCGTAGATCAAATCTTAAACTATTGCAGTTTAGATGTGAATTTATGAAACGGGAAACTGAATTTTTAGGTCACATAATTACAACTGAGGGAATCAAAGCAAATCCAAATAAAATTCGAGCTATTTAACATTTTAAAATCCCAAACTCTTCAAAACAAATAAAATCATTTTTAGGGCTTTATGGATTTTATCGTAAATTTATTAAAAAATTTCCCAAAAATTGCAAAACCAATGACGTTTTGCTTAAAACAGGAGTTAAAATAAATATAAACGACCCTATTTACTATGAAGCATTTAAAAAACTAAAAACGTTAATTAGTACCGATCCAATTCTCATATATCCAGATTTAAAAAAGAAGGTATTCTTTTTTTTTTTTTTTTTTCACGACTATTGAGTTATATTTGATATTTAACTGAGAGCAGTTTTTTTCTCTTTCTGACGTTAAAATGTTCTAAAAAATGACTTATTTACCCAAATTGAGAATTTCCGTTCTTGAACATTGATACACAAGCTGAGTAAATTGAACTCAATGTGATAATTTTGTGTCTTGAATTTTTTTAAGTTCAGATACGCTCAGATTGAAAAGAATGTACTTAATTATTTATCTCTGAGTAGCTATTGGTCGTTCGTCTATGATAAAGTCGCTTGATTCTAAGAATATTTATACAAAATAATGCTTGGTAAAGTTACAAGTTGATATCCTTAAAAAAAAGCAAGCAATAATTTTTGACCAACAAAAGTGATGGTGTGCCCCATAGTGCAGCGCTCTAGAGAAATTTGTCGCCCTCCAGATCATCTGCATTGGCGCTGATGTATTTTTAGATTTATCTGTCTAAATATTCCAAAAACCTTAGATAGTTTGTTATAAGCGAGAAATTAAATGCATTTTTGTGTACAATTTAATTAAATTTTTTTACGGGATTACTTCTCGTACATTGCTTATTGCATTTTATTCTGATTAATTTTTCGAGTTGTTGCTGTAGACATGACGACGCTTGAAATGGACCTCTCCACATAATCCAATTACTCAATCCAATTCCCTTTCCACTTTAAAATAGCGTTTGCAGTAACAACTGCGAACACATTAAGCCAAATAAAATAAGTGGGCAGCCATAAATTATGCAATGTATATCACACACACGTCCGTATTCATGCATCTATCGAACATATTTCTCACTGCGCCTGAAAGCCGACTTTTCCAAATCGACAAGTGCTACATTTCGTATGCAAAATAATGCTTTGCATTTCTCATCGACCAGTGATGAATTAGAGCGAATTAATTTTACACTAAAAAGTGACAAAGCCCAAGAAGAAGCCCATGCCTGTTTGCGCCTTTCAAAGCATTTGTAAGGCTGACGTTGCTAGGGCAAACATTTTACCATATCAAATTCAAGTTCGCATAAATTTAAAAGACTGAGATTTGTGGTCGTTTAGGGAGAACAGGAAATAAAATCGATATTTCACAAAAGAACCGCTTCCCTATACCTACAGTACCTACAGGTTGAGTCGTAGGCCTTCCAATGCCAGCAAACTCTTACCAAAATCAAATCGATTATTATTTAATCGTCTGAGCTGAAGGGTTGCACGTCGTTCCACTGCAGTGGTACATGCGGGGGTTGTAAATTTAATTTAATTTTACCGGGAAAATTAATCAAAAATTGAATGTTAAGTCTTCTTGCTTCTTTATTCTGAATTCCTTTTTTAACCACAATCTAAACGGTAAAATTATTGCCACGTTTATTGTGTAAGCTGTAGCTGCTTTTATTTTGTGCCAGTCAGTCAAATTAGTGTTGCCGATGTTTTTCACAGAGGTTATGTCCACAGATTAGTCTATGATAATTTATGGGATTAGTGTAGCCGAAAAACAACTTTAAGTATAATATGTACATATGTACATAGATACATGTACAAGAACAATTTGTTCACCGCATTGCAAGATTTTGGTACACAGACGGAATAAAAAAAGTTTGAAAATAAAAATAATATCTAAAATTTTCAATTTATAAGAATACTGCAATTTCAAAAAGTGTATTTATTTAGTCGAATGCTTAATCATTTTTCGTCACAACATTTGATTTCAGAAATGGTGTATGTTGAAGGGCTGATCATGACGACTTTAACTTGTGTTTTTGTTTGATATCAAAAATTTTTGATTAAACTTCGGTTAAAGTATGACAATACCATGACCAGGAGTCCCTAAGTCTCAATATTTTTGGATTTGATTTTTTTAGGATATAAAGGGACAAAAAATTGCTTATGTTTCCCTTTTACTTAAAAAGGTTATAATAAGAATTTTTTATCATCAATAGATTTCTGCTAATTCAAATAGGCATAAAATGTTAATTATAAATTTCTGAAATATGTTCAATTTTTTATACCCTTGCAGAGGGTATTATAATTTTGGTCAGAAGTTTGTAACGCAGTGAAGGAGACGTTTCCGACCCTATAAAGTATATATATTCTTGATCAGGATCAATAGGGGAGTCGATATAGCCATGTCCGTTTGTCAGTCCGTCCGTCTGTCCGTCTGTTTCAATACCGTTTGCGAGCTCAGTTAAAAAGCTAGCGATCTGAAACTTTCACACTCGTCCTAAAACATGTGTACGCAGATCAAGTTTGAAAACCGCTCCGATCGGATGTCTATACCCTATAGCTCCCATAGGAACAATCGATAGCTCCTATAGGAACAATAGGGTGAAATCGGTTAAAATTTAATGATTTTTAGGATATTTCGCACAGTATATAAGCAATTGTCATTAATCTTTCCAAATCGTATTTTTTTAGGCATACCTTGATTAGGGTAAAAGCGCGTAACGTTTATATGCTATAGCTCCCATAGGAATAATATCATTTTTAGCAATTTCGGCAAAGTCTGCAAGGGTATTAAAACTTCGGCTTGCCGAAGCTAGCTTCCGTTCTCGTTAAAACTGAATAACGACCAAACGCGAATTTCAAAAGCTATAAGACCAACTATTAAAAAAAAAGCTAAACCGGGAATACTAAACTGTCTTTTGGCTTAGATTTCGTAATTATTTCGCAAAATAATTTGAAAATAATTTTTAAACTTAAGTTAACAAAGTTTAAATTATTTCAGGCGCTAACTTAATCAAAACCAAGACACCATCAATTCTGCGGCTATAAATAAGTAGTCTCCTCCTCACAATCTAAAAGTGCGAGTCGTCACTAAGTGTACTGGATTTCTAAATATATGTATATATTTTTGTTTCAATTATTTTTTCGATTGAATGATAAGCTGTCGGATCCGGCCGTTTCATATTATATACTAACTATAAAGTTTCAAACGGATAGCTTTAAAAATGTGGTACCAATTTGCGACGGAGGGCAGACTCACATAGCTATGTATATGATGCTGAATAAGAAAAATATACATAATGGGGTCGGTGATCACGTGTTTCTATAAAAAAGACTGCGATAAGAGCCGTTGCTGTGGATGTTGTTGGTTTTGCTGTAGTTGTTGCTGTTACTTTGGGTGCGATTGCAGAATGTTGCTAAGCAAGGGTCGAATCTGATGGTGGGGGGATTTTCCACTGAGAACTCCAAGCCGTAGGAGTAGTAGTAAGAGAAGGTATAATGCGAAAAGAAGACTACCTTAAAATTTTAAAAACCAATCTTCCCAATTTTATGGAAAAATGTGCTTATCCCGAAGACGAAATTGTTTTTCAACAAGATGGTGATCCAAAGCACACAGCAAAAATTGTTAGGGAATGGATTGGCAATCAACATTTTCAGCTGATGGAGTGGCCAGCGCAAAGTCCCGACCTCAATCCGATTGAAAATCTTTGGTCAATCGTTAAGAGACGGCTCGGGCAGTACGAAACAGCCCCAACCAATATGGCCAACCTTTGGGAACGTGTAACAGCGGAATGGAAGCAAATCCCTGAAGGTGTTATACAAAATTTGGTAGAGAGCATGCCCAACCGCATTAATCAAGTTATTGCTAATAAGGGTTTGTGGACAAAATATTAAAATGGATTTATTTATTTAATTTTTTTAAAATGTGCAAAAGTGAGTTTATGCGGGTTTTTCTGGTTTTTTCTTTCTAACTTTTAGAATTTACCTTATACGATATTGTTTCTTTTTCGCATTTGTTATGAATAAAATGGTTAACATAAAAAAATTATTAAATTATTCGTATCGTTTGGTTTTTATGGGCGACGAAAGTCAGTTTCACGAACATGCACTCACTTTTGCTCGCCACTGTATATGATGCTGAATAAGAAAAAATATACATAATGGGGTCGGTGTTTCTATAAAAAATAATGCGATAAGAGCCGTTGCTGTGGATGTTGTTGGTTCTGCTGTAGTAGTTGCTGTTACTTTTGGTGCGATTGCAGAATGTTGCTAAGCAAGGGTCGAATCTGATGATGGGGGGATTTTCCACTGAGAACTCCACGCCGTAGGAGTAGTAGTAAGAGTGAGGAGAGAGGGTGAGCAAGATCGTGCTCTTTGTGTATCGACGGTCAGTAGAGCCGGGTTTTGTAGACGTTTTTTCCACTTCGCTATCGCGCGTAGAGCTTATGCGCTTTTTATTGAAATATATATGTACATAGTTATAAGCTATGGTTTAGAAGATATTTTCTTCGTAAATAATCTTGCATAGATGGCGGCCAAGGCAATGTCTAGAAAAGAGAGTAAGTATATTTGGAAATCTCTCTCTGATGTGGAGTAATTGATCGAGATCTATCGGTATGTCCACTAAAGATGCTGCCTTCTCATTCCCACAAGCCAATCACCAAACTCCTGGCTTTCCGGCAGCATAAGGTCATACCCATTATCCGCATCCAGGTCGAGATCATCGTCCGCATCGTGGTAATTTGGGTTGGGCTTGACTCCTAGGCGAAGTGCCACCTTGTAAACAATGAATGTAAGCAGGCTCATTATCCAACCGCACACGGCGCCGAATGCAATGCACGTGGCCACCTTAATCACTACTCCAAAGTCGGAATGTAGATGGTAGTGAAAGTACGTTAACTTATTTCTTAAACATTCTTGATATTCCATGTTTCCTACTGGGAATTTGAAATATAGAAAGTAGTAATAATAACACGCACATTAGATTTGTGTGGATTTGATTTTAGAGCAGCCAATTTCACTAAGACATGTTTGAAAAAGCTGTCTAAGCTTAGAAAGGTTGAAACTATATAGGTTATATACATACTTCTATCAAAGAAACGTCAAAATGTTTTTCAACCCCATTGAAATTATCTGCACCTGTTTGATCCAGCCCATTATTGACTTTCTGGTCTATTTAATGGACGAAGTCCACTACTTGGCCTTCCTAGCTGGCCTTGCCTTTCTTGGGATCTTCCTGGGACTCATCTTTGGGATCATAAGCGTAATTTGGTACAAGTCGACACGCGACGTGGATACCAAGAAGTGTTATGCCGAAGAAAGGGTGTCTGTGTCGGTCGGTGCAAGAAAAAGCGATTAGAATGATATCGGTGTTTCAAAATGTAAGATGACCTTGTGTTTACGCTGACCAAGAACTTCCAATTTCACAGCAGAATTTGATTTTGAACATTATTAAAGTGTAATGTTACAATATGCTTTTGATCATGTTTTTTTGTCGTCCCAATATAATAAATAATAAATAAGACTAAGATAAACTAAAACATTTATCTTGTAAGCAGTGTATGATGATGTGATTAACATGTCTATAGCTATTTCTAAGTTATATTAATTAAGTACCAACATCCACATTTATGTACCAATCCCGCTGTTCCGATTTGATATAGAACTAAGTAAAACTAATATTGCAAAAGGCTAAGGATAACGTGAATATCAGAGAACGGTCACTTTACGATAAAACAGAGAAACAGAGAGACATTGTAAAAAGCACGCTAACATAAAATTAAAATAAAGTGAAATAAAAAGAATTAAAACTACGATAACAACTTCAGAAGTGGGATAGACACCATTTAAACATCCGCCTACATAAACATTGTTGGCTATCCGAAGACGCACAAGTTTTTTTTTTCCTATAATTGCGTTTTGGCGAGTGACGCCAAATTGGAATGGACAAGGCGAAAATTGTAGAGTGGCTTCAAGCCAATGAAATCAGGTTTCCAGGAAGTGCAACTTTAAGACAACTGCGCAAGCTTGCATTGGATGCCGGTTGCCAGGATGCGGCTAATATCCCAGAAAGCCTATTGGAGGAAGAAGATGCCAAAATTGAGGTTGTAAGCCAGCGGAGCGCTAGCGAAGACATCGACGAATTAGAAGAAGAAGAAGCACTACTTGACGCCGCCATAAGGGTAGCTAAGAAGAAGAAGATACTGGCCGAATTAATGCGAAACGACAGCAAGACGACAGATGACATTCGTATGGTGAAACAGCTCATGATTCCGTTTTCTGCCACTGAAAATGAGGAAGCCTTTAAGTGGATTTTGGATTTTGAGAGAATCTGCAGAGATGTTAACGAGTGTAAAAATTTCCAATTACGCTGCATACGAATGCTGATGAAACCGGGAACAGATGCCGACTTGTTCTTGCGTGTTGACCAATCGAATACTTATGACGCATTTAAACAGAACTTTATAAAAACATTTGGTCGTGGTAGTTCAACTGCTGACATCGTATTGCTGTTAAAGGAGACCATTTTCAACCCGCTGAAAAACACTGTTATGGGATACATACTTCTTATGGAGGAAATTGCTATGCGTGCTAGCATCGAAGAAAAATTGACAGTTCAGCTTATAATTGATGGTTTTCGCGATCGTTCAGCCAATATCGCCCTATTGTACACAGCAACAACAATCGAAAAAATTGAAGGAGTTGGCACGGAAGTACGAAAATCTAACAAAGAAGTCCCAACATTTTTCTCTCCGCTCAGAAAACACTAGAAAAGATCGGAACACAATCCGTTGCTACAATTGTTCCGCTTATGGGCATTACGCTTCGTCGTGCACTGCGCCGAAGCGCGAGAAGAATTCCTGCTTCCGCTGTGGATCGCTCCAGCACATGCTAAAGGATTGCCAACAGAAGCCAGCAAGTAACCCAAAAATGGTGGGAGCAGCCAACAACCAGCCGATACGGGATGACGAAGAGGAGCCAAATATGTTTATTCCGATTATTAACCAGGTAGGAGTATATTTTTACACTGATTGTCAAATGAAGCCTAATGTAACCTTCCTTTCTGCCATGTTCGATACGGGTAGCGCCATTAATTTAATTCAACACGCTGCCATTCCTTATAAAAACATTAGCGATGTATTGTTTCCGACTGACTATTGTGGAGTCAATGGATTTAAGATTAAAACTTTCGGAAAATTATTTGTTAAGCTCGTTTTTCAAAACATGGAAGAAGAAATATCATTTTTTGTTGTACCCAACAACTATATTGCAACTAATGTTCTTTTAGGGCGTAAGTTTTTGGAAAAATTTGGAATAAAATTGATTTCTAAGTATAGAGTAAAAGAAATTATTGAATTGAATAAATTAGTGAATAGTGAACCATTGAATATTTTAGAGAATAGTGAACCATTGAATATTTTAGAGAATAGTGAACGATTGAATAGATTAGTGAACAGTGAAACATATCGAGACAGTGACCAATTGATAGACAGTAGAAGTTTTGAAGACTTATGTGAAGAAAGTGAAATTGATAGTGATGACAGCATACCAGAGATATATAGTATAGACGTATTTAAGGATGATGAAAGTTTTGACATTGACCCAAAGTTGAGTGATAGAGATCGGAGTGAGCTCAGTGAAATAATAAGATTGAATTATTTATGTTTATCTAACATCCCAGCGATTCAACATAGTTACGAAATGAGGTTAAGACTAAAGTCAGAAGAACCTGTACGTTCTGTTCCAAGAAGACTTTCATATCAGGAAAAGAAAGAAGTAGATTTTAAAGTTGACGAATTATTGAAAAAAGGATTTATAAGAGAAAGCAATTCGCCCTATAGTTCTGCTATTGTACTTGTTAAGAAGAAATCTGGGGAAAAGCGCATGTGCGTAGATTATAGGCAACTTAATAAGATAACCATTCGTGATGGATACCCGCTTCCCCTTATAGATGACTGTTTAGAGCGTTTAGAAGGAAATCAATACTTCACACTTTTAGATTTGAAAAGTGGATACCACCAAGTGAAAGTAGCAGAAAGTTCAGTGCAATATACAGCTTTTGTAACACCTTCCGGACAGTATGAATACACAAGAATGCCTTTCGGACTCATGAATGCACCTGCGGTATTCATGAGATTTATTAATTTTATTCTGCAACCTTTGATCCGCGAAGGAAATGTAGTAGTTTACATAGACGATATTGCTATAGGTTCGAAGACATTGAATGAACATTTTAAGACGGTAGGAAGAGTATTAAGAATTTTAGCAGCATATCGATTGGAAATTAAAATAAATAAATGCCAGTTCGCTTACAAAAGTATTGAATTTTTAGGATACACACTCAGTGAAAAAGGGATAAGTCCGAATAACGAGCATACATCAACTATTAAACATCTTCCGATACCAAAAGATCGCCATGGAATGCAGAAATGTTTAGGACTATTTTCTTACTTTAGAAGATTTATTCCGGCGTACTCAAAAATAGCAAAGCCATTGCAGGAGCTCACAAAAGCAGGTGTTAAGTATGAACTCAATGAGGATTGTATCAATATTTTTGAATATCTTCGTGAAAAATTAATTTCATTCCCTATATTATCTTTGTACAATCCAAATCGAGAAACGGAATTGCATTGCGACGCAAGTAGCGAGGGATTTGGTGGAATCTTATTACAAAAACAGGATGATAACAAGTTCCATCCAATAGCTTATTTTTCCCAGAGAACAACAAAACTAGAGGCACGATATGAAAGCTTTAAATTGGAAACACTAGCTGTGGTTTACTCATTACGAAAATTTAGAATATACCTAGAAGGAATTCCATTTAACATAGTAACAGATTGTAATGCAGTAGTTTTATGTCTAGGGAAAGGACGTCTTAATTCAAGTATTGCCAGATGGGCTTTAGAATTGGCGAATTATAATTATACACTTAAGCATCGTAGTGGAAAATATATGAATCATGTTGATACATTGAGTAGATACCCTTCAGCCTTAAATGAAAATTTTGAATATGAACCTGTATTAAATATCCAAGAAAGTGACAACAAAGACCAAATAGTTTCAGTAATTGACAGTGACGACATCAATCTTCAGCTTCAGATAACGCAAAATAGGGATAATCTTATAGTAAAACTGAAAGAACAATTAGAACATGGAAATGTGAAAAATTTTATATTGAACGATGGAATAGTTTACAGATTAGGTGAGAAAGATATTGAATTGTTATATGTACCAGTTGAAATGGAATCCCATATAATTAGGAGAGTCCATGAAAATTTATGTCATTTAGGTACTGAAAAATGTTTGAAGGAAATATTGAGACATTATTGGTTTCCGAACATGAAATCTAAAATAGAGGCATTTATTGGCAATTGTTTGAATTGTATCATGTTTACAGTACCTACACATGCGAATAATCGAACCCTACATAATATACCCAAGCGACCAATTCCTTTTGATACATTACATGTAGACCATTTTGGACCATTGCCATCAGTTATATCGAAAAAGAAACATTTGTTAGTGATTATTGACGGATTTACCAAATTTGTTAAATTGTTTCCTGTAAATTCAACGAGTACGAAAGAAGTCAATACGTGTTTTTCGAAATATTTTCAATATTACAGTCGACCACGTAGAATTGTAAGTGATAGGGGTACGTGTTTTACTTCATTAGAGTTTGCCAACTTTTTATTAGAAAATAATATTGAACACGTTAAAGTAGCAACTGCGTCACCTCAAGCGAACGGTCAGGTGGAAAGAGTAAATAGAACAGTGAAAGCAATGTTAGCTAAGATAACTGAACCAATAAAGCACGAGGATTGGAGCAAACTACTGGTTAAGGCCGAATATGCCATTAATAATTCAGTACATTCAACGACGAAGGAATTACCATCAGTATTATTATTTGGAGTTCAGCAGAGAGGGTGTAATATTGACGCATTGACAGAATATTTAGATGATAGAAATGATAGACCACAGTGCGATTTAGGAAATGTCCGTAAGAATTCTTCAGATAAAATAGAACAGTCTCAGAAAAGAAGCAAGGAATATTATCAGAAAAATCACAAAAGTCATGTAGAATTCGAAGAAGGCGATTTTGTTGTAATGAGAAACATTGACACCACAATTGGTACAAATAAAAAATTTGTACCGAAGTACAAAGGACCATACGTCGTTAAAAGAATTTTGCCAAACGATAGATATGTTATAACTGATATTGAAAATTGTCAAATTAGTCAAATTCCCTATGATGGAATTGTAGAAGCATGTCGGTTACGAAAATGGGCAGATTGGCGTAATCAGTGTGAAATTAACTCCTAATAAATGTTAAGCTAACCTATATATATTTAAACAATTAATATCTAAATTATTAACCAAAATTTTACAACTTAACTTATTCTTTACAAATTATTTATATTTATATTTATTTTACTAAACGTAAGAACATTTTAATAATACTTATATAAACTAGAAACCCACGATCGAGGACGATCTAATTGTCAGGATGGCCGAGCTGTAAGCAGTGTATGATGATGTGATTAACATGTCTATAGCTATTTCTAAGTTATATTAATTAAGTACCAACATCCACATTTATGTACCAATCCCGCTGTTCCGATTTGATATAGAACTAAGTAAAACTAATATTGCAAAAGGCTAAGGATAACGTGAATATCAGAGAACGGTCACTTTACGATAAAACAGAGAAACAGAGAGACATTGTAAAAAGCACGCTAACATAAAATTAAAATAAAGTGAAATAAAAAGAATTAAAACTACGATAACAATCTATTGCTTTTTTCCCATTTATGCGTAAAGAATTTTATACTACTGTACGTCTGAGAGCCCAGATTGCAAAAAAACAAGCAGTTCGGCTAGGCTCTCTTTGCTGATCAATAATATTTGTAAATGTTTTATGTTCATTATGAACATATTTATAAAAGTATACAATATTGTCCCACACTTTACAGATTAGCGCGTAGCTATTGATAGTCATCTAAGTAAAAACTTAGAAAAATAAAATCTGTTTATCTGTTTGAACTCAAAAATTGTGGATGAGTTTTTATCTACCATCTTAACGCTTTATTTGGTCGTAATAGTTTCCCTTACAGCGCTGCAACTTTACACTAAATTTGCAATGTGAAAAAAGGCTTAAAGGGCGGTTCAAAGGACAACGTCTTAGGAAGCAGGAGACGAGCCCCCAAGGCGTAAAGACAATTTAAGTGGTCGCTTAGTTCTTAGAGTTCATAAACAGGACGCTTGATAAAATGAAAAACGTCGGCGGTATTTTCGCAACAAAAATGCATGGCGCGGCCAAGAAAAAAAAACGTAAATGGCAGACGGCCAATGAGCATCCCCGACTTTATTAAAATTTTGACATCCCAAAAAAGCGAGAGGAAAAGGGCTCGGGTAAGGGGAGCGGATGATTGGTTTTGTCGTAGTCGTCTGGCGCAGCGTACCAACAGAAAGCCAGCAACAAAATGGCCAAAGTTTTAGCGAATGGTAAACTTTACTGCAAATGCAAAAACACAAGTCAACAGAAGCAAGGAAATAGGTTGTCTGAGAAAAATTAAGTTTCTGCACCGATGCGTTGGCAATGAAAAGGCGTCCCTAGCGGTCAAATTAAAACCACATTACATTGCAAACAGAAGCCCCTGGTATCTGTTCTTCGACATTTCAGGAATTATAAATCCTGAAACTTGGATTATATATGCAGACTCTACACTCAAAATAAAATTAACTATTAGTATTCTAAGCTCGCCAAAAAACTAAATTTTTTTCCAGGTCCAAGAAAAGATTTTCAATTTAAAGAAATTGTTTTCTGGAAGGGAGGAAATATTTATTAAATGAAGTCGAAATATTTATTATTGCCAAAAACTAAAATCGCCCTAAAAACAAGAAAACATACCTCTAGTTGTATATAATGTTACATAAATTTTTCAAAATTGTCTTTCTCTGTTGTTTTTAACCCAAAAAGTGTAAGAAATTCAGACCTTTGAAGATTAGGACGCCCACTTGGAAGAAGTGTCAACGTTAGTACTGCAAACTTTTCGAGAAATTTAAGCAAGGGTATAAAAATGTGTTCATTTAAGGCCGAAGTAGAAATAATGATAAATTGACTGCAGCAATTAAACTATGCTTATAACTCTAGATTAAAAATTTAAATTTAAAAGCTATATGAGTGGGTCGTATGCAGACTTAAGTCCGCCACTGTAATTGAAAATAATAATTGAAAATAAAATTTATAATTCGGAAGTGATCTCGCGCACAAAATATATGCATGCATTTAAATTTCGTAAGATCACCCAAAAAAAAATATTTACATACAGTGGCTCGCAGCTTATTTCGTGCAGTTGAATAATAAAACTTAAGGTCGGTATTGCGGATAAACTAGTAAAGATAAAACAAAAATGAAAATGCAATATTTTTTAATGGAAATATTAGCATATTTACAAAAACTAAAAACTATTTTCTTAAAAATAACATAAAAATTTGACCAAAACATCAAGAAATGGACAAATAATGAAGTGGTGACACAGAGCGCATAATCACTTTAGTTGCCGAGTAAGAGCTTCCGGCTATTCATTAGCAAAAAATGTTACTGCTTCACTGACGTGTTATTTGCAGACGATTTAAATTTAATCTTTTTGTTCAGATGGGAGCCAATGTGTTTGGTGGCCACCTAATACAGAGTTCGAAAACAAACACCTAAACTTACTACAGCTTCTGGCGGGGCAACCTCGTTTTTTTGATGGGATCATGAATACGTAAATGTATTTCGAACTTAAAAATAAAAAGTTCCACCAAGACAACGATCCGAAACATTCAGCAGGCATTGTGAAGTCTTGGATCGACTGAAACTGCCCTCATTTCGTCATAACAATCACTCATACGTGCTCACTTTTATTTATGTAAGTACAATTAAACGAGAAGTGTTTTTTTGGCTACGTATTTAAATACAATAATTCAAATATAGTATAAGAATGAATGCATTTCAAATTTAATAAATGACAAAAAGGACCAATTCAGTTATTACAAAACGACTACATTTCGATTTCTTTGCCTATATTACTAAAAACTATGAATCTATGTCGAGTTTGAGCTGCATTTTGCCATTGTTTCTTTGGCAGCTATTTGATATTGTTGTCCGATTTTGACAAATCTAAAAGCGTAATTCTGATATAGTAAATAATTACTATATATATGAAAATAACGTTTTGATAAATAGGAAAACAGCTAAATACAATGTCGAAATTATAATACCCTCTGCAGTATAGGAAAATAAAGCACATTTGTTGTTTTCCAAATTAACAAACACTTACACTAATATTAGGGCACAAACAGGCGATAAGAATATGAGCTCATTTCCATTTTTATATTTCACACAGATTTTTGGCCAACGGACTAGAGAGTATGAAGGCCACATAGGGCATATGAACATTTACTGAGCTTATCAGCAATATTATACGCTCCGTTGTTTCTTACATAGGGAATATATAGGGACTACATAGGGCATATGAACGTTCACGCTTATCAGCAATATTTTAGGCTTCGTTGTTTCTTCAACTAAAAAGCACAGTTTAGTACACTTTTTGAATTCGATTTGAGTACGTGGAACAACTTTAAGTGCGGAGTGCTATTTGCTTGGCTTACTAATATTCCGCAAGGCGCAGATCAGTCGTTCTGCGTTATTGTGTAGAGCTCTATTAGGTAATATTCAAATTTTTTTCCTACCATTAATTTTAGTTTTAAATATTTGGATATCTCGATATTTATAAATTGTTCTATTGTTTTTCGTTTTCCACTTTTTCGTGTAAGCTCAATTAAGATGTACGGCACTAGCCAACTAATTAGAATATTGAAAACAAATGCAATGATTATTATTTTATCGTCTGTTCTAAATCATTTTGTACAGATTAAAATATCAGCCGATGCCAACGACGAACTCAAAAGTCAAGTAGATGCCCTAAAAGACACCATTAAAGAGTTTCAGTATCAGTTGAAAATTCAAATTTGTTCAACTGATACTGCAAGTCTTTAATTTTGGTATGACTCAAAAGCCAAGTGAATGCCTTAAAAGACACCATTAAAGACTTGCAGTATCAGTTGAACACTCAGATTGGTTCAACTGATTCTGCAAGTCTTTTATGGTGTCTTTTAAGGTATTTACTTGGCTTTTGAGTCATATCAAAATCAAAGAAGTAAAATATCTTGCGAAAGAGGAGCTGGAAAAATTATATCGAATGACTGCGGCACGACCCCACGAACTCTACATTAAGCTGGGAAGGTTGATGAATCCACAAGCTACGTTCAAAACGACGATTTTAAGACCGGGAGTGAGGAGGAATTCTTCGAGTTAAGGAATCTAGGGAAATATTCTGGTGAAGCCGGAGACTCCCTCACACACCATAAGAACCAAAAGTTCACCACTTTCGATTGGGATCACTGTCATTAGTGAAAGTGAAGGAAATTGTGCCTCTACATATGGTCCATTGTGGCACAAAAACTTTGGATTTAGGTATACCTGCTTATTTACGCTCTTTTAAATCTTCCTACTATAATCACCTTAAATTACAGTACTCTCAATGGAAAATACTTTACAGATGGCAGAGGTGTTTACGGAACTGCTTGGGGTTCATGGCATAACAACGACTGGAATAAATCATAAGGCTAAATCATAACTTATCCCATTTTATCTATTTAGCACCAGGCACCATTAGGAGTACAGTATAGATTTAGTATTTTGTATTAATATTCAAATATTTCATATTTTTAAATGGCAGAACAACGACTGGAATATATCACTTACCTTTGTTGAAATAATGATGTGTCTTATCATAAGGCCCTTATCATAAGACCCATCATCATTTCAGCGAAGGTAAGTGATTTATTCCAGTCGTTGTATAAATAGTATCACTGTTAAAATATGAAATATTTGAATATAAATTCAAAATAATAAATCTATAGTGTACACCTAGTGGAGTCTGGTATTGATTTGTTTTTCTTTGACGAAAATGATCTGAAGATCATTCTCCGGTTCTAAATTTCCAGCCAGCTAGACATTTAAATATGTCCAGAGAATTAATAATAATAATAATAATTAATTTAAGATAAAATCAATGTAACTGAGAAAAACCTGTCATTAGAAATAAAGATTTGAGAGAAAGAAACTGTGACCTTCTGAGACGGTTTAAGGGGGGTATGGTATTTACATTTTTTGAGGCCCTTTTTGTTTAAATTGGTTTTCTGAATGCACATCATTTGAAAAATATTGCGTTAAAATCAAAATCAAATTTTTAGGCTTAAATCACGGTTTTTGACTTCAAAGTGACCTCCAGAAACATATTAACTAATAAACACAATTTTTTTTTCTGATGATCCAGTAGGGGTTTGTGCTGTTCACCGCAAACCCTTTTTTTTTTGGGGGGCCTTCGGAGTTTGGCTGCGAACGGCACATTTAGTTTTTTTTTCGATAAAAATTTGTAGAAACTTAGTTTAAGTGTTGTACTTTGATATGCTATTAAAGTAATTAATCTGACTTTAACCGTATCGTGGGAAAAAATTCTTGAAAATAGGCATTTTTGGCCGAATTAATATTAAATTTATATTATCATTTCACTTAAACTCGAGCAAAAAATGAAAATTTCGAATGTCTAATTTCAATACTATCGAAGTTTTTAATTTAATACTCATCGTATTGAATTGATTAAATACCCAATAGTTTAGAATTCATGTAACAGTTTAGTTCCTAACACTATTTTTGGGGTGTACTATATTCGGCATTAAGACCAACATAATTTAGCATTTAGCTTGATGGTTCTGGTGGCTTGAATATCCTGTCAAGCTAATTACCTTTGGGTGCAGGTGTTTTGTTGAAAACACGTTGCATTGCCTTGAGTTGGCAGCTCATAAAGTTAATTCACATGAATGGATAAAATATTTGTGAACACACAAATACTCTACATTCCTACACACATTTCAGCAAAATATTTCAAGCATTGCATATTTTATAGTATATTGACGCTGTGTGCGACCTCCTCCTGCTTTATAGTTTTTAAACTAGTTTGGGGATTTCGATCCCCTCATGGTTGCTTTTTTTCCTTCACTTCGCGTATAGGGCGTCCCGGTAGGGAACTCTGCCGTTCCCATTCCTCACCATATCTCACCCCAAAGTTCTGGGCTTGTGTATTTGTTTCATTTGCCATTTTCAACCTTGACTTGCTTGGCAACTGCAGCAAAAGCTCTCGGAGTAACGTGTCGCTACATTTGGGAATTGTTATGTATGGCTTCCACCCACAACATAAAATAACATATACATATACACCAATATGCATACATAAATCGAATAGATTCATTTTATATGCTACACCATACGGAACTCTTAGCAGGTGTTAATAAAATTTATGTGCGAAAAATGTTTCAAAAACCGGACAGTTCCCAATGGGAAATGGAATATACGACTGTTTTTCAAACCTTTAACTTCGTCGGATCTTTTTATAATTTAAAATATCCTTTCAAAGAAACAAATTCACCATTTCTAAATTCAATATATTGTGATATTCCTGCTAAGTCGCAACCTCTAGAATAAATATGGTTTAAGAACATATACAATATTGCTTAAACTAAGCAATAAAGCCCAAGAAAGCACATAAAAGGTTTCCACGGAAAGCTATCGGGTACCATGCAATATTTAAATAATGTTTTTATTACGCTAAATAATTATTACTATAAGTTTTAATGTTGAACTTTAATTAAAATTTTTTAGTCAAGGTGATTTTGAGGTCTTTTATGTGAATGTGCGAACATGGAGTGGTATATGAGATCGCTGGCTTGGATGGATTTTTCGTAAGAACAAAAAAAAACTGCGCGAATGATATCCAATCCTTTTTTAACAAGAGAGAACGCTATAGTCGAGTGCCCCGACTATTACCCTGCAGTTCCGAAATTCATCACTACAAAAATTCATCACCATTTAATCAGCAGCGGACTGCGACGCCGGCAGAGCCAAAGGCAGCCGAGTGCGACGCAGGCAGAGCCGAAACTCTCAGTCCCCGATCGTAGGAAACGCAAAAAAATTTCCATCTCCCTCTCTTACTCTGTCTCTCTCCCCATAAAATGAGCTGACAAAATGGAGTGGAGTGATGAATTACTGATTAAAGAGTGATGAAAAACTGAAAAAAGAGTGATGAATTACTGATTAAAGAGTGATGAATTTTTCACTGATCAACTCCTAGGACATGCCAATGTTAAATTCATCACTAATTTGTATGAAGTTTCATCGCCGATTAATCAGCAGTGATGAATTTTTGGTGATGAAAAAGCGATTAAAAGGTGATGAACGGTACTGCAGGGTAGATACCCGTTACTCAGCTAAACAACTTAATACAAATATGCGCTATTGTATTGCGCCATCTACCCCAAGATATTGGTATCACGGGCCATGAAAGGCGGAAATGTAGGCGCTAGCCAGGCTTAAGCGTTTAATGGGTTTTTGGGCGTTAGAGTGGGCGTGGCAAACTTTTATTAGGCCAATCGATAGGCATTGACGAAACAAATACATATCAATTAAAATTTTCATAATAGCATCAAAACTGTGGCCACAGCTTGTGGCTTGTGGGCGTCAGAGGGGGCGTGGCACCATTTTGAAACAAACTTACGCTGCGTAGGAACTCCTAAAATCTACATGCAAAATGCCAATCCTCTAGCTTTTATAGTTTCCGAGATCTCAGCGTTCATACGGACAGACAGACAGACGGACAGACGGACAGACGGACATGGTTATATCGACTCGGCTAGTGACCCTGATCAAGAATATATATACTTTATAGGGTCGGAAACGCTTCCTTCTAGCTGTTACATACTTTTGCACGAATACAATATACCCTTTTACTCTACGAGTAACGGGTATAAAAATATAGCTTTTGAATTTAAGAATCAAGAGTATGAATAAGTAGAAAATGCAGTTTTTAAATTGCATCAATCTCACAATATTAAAGAATAAAAAATTTTTTTTCGAAATTTATTACGAATGGTTTATTTACAAAAAAGTCTTTTTACAAAAAATAAATTTTGAAACTTTAAAACAGCTAGGTGAAGCTTTAAAGCACATCTTCTTTAGAAGTAACAAGAAAGGAAAGCTAACTTCGGGCGGAGCCGAAGTTGATATACCCTTGCAGAATACTCTGTAAATTATATTCTCCAAAATTATTCATATGATGCATTCTTAATACTCATAAAAAATCCGAACTTCCTAACTTTAACAACAACAAAGTTATGGCATTTCCAATCGTTCAGTTATATGGCAGCTATAGGATATAGTCGGCCGATCCTTATGAAATTTGATAGGTCGGATTGATTGGCCAAAAATAAAATCCATAGAAAATCCCAACTTCCTAACTTTACAAACACCAAAGTTATGGCATTTCCGATCAATCAGTTATATGGCAGCTATAGGATATAGTCGGCCGATCCCGGCCGTTCCGACTTATATACTGCGTGCAAAGGAAAGAAGGGTGTGTGCAAAGTTTCAATCCGATAGCTTTAAAACTGAGAGACTAGTTTGCGTAGAAACAGACAGACGGACAGACGGACATGGCTATATCAACTCAGGAGGTGATCCTGATCAAGAATATATATACTTTATAGGGTCGGAGATGTCTCCTTCACTGCGTTGCACACTTTTGACCAAAATTATAATACCCTCTGCAAGGGTATAAAAAGTAATATACATTTTTGAAAATACACTTTTCAAAGCATTGGTATTCGTATTAATTCAATACCTAATAATATAATGCCTACAGTTTGTAGCTTCAATTCTTTACCGAAAGGTCATGGTCATTTGTGGATGAAGTAACATTATCCTAAGAACAACAAATTTCACGACGGTCAGGACAAACAATTTTTAAACAAATTTCATAAGTCAATGTTAAATATATAACTATATTTTAATAAGTTCTGAAAATTTACATTCTAAAGAAGGCATGATATCCACATCGACCTGCCGAAGAGAAAAAATACAGATTTTATCTCTTTTAACTGATTTGGCTACAAAATATTTCTCAATAAGCCTTTTATTTTTTTCTTTCGGGCTTACCATTAAAATTATGTTAGCAAACATAAACTGTATCAGAACAAATATTTTTGAGAATTAATTAGCAAACATGTTTGAAATATTTAAACAAGAAAAAAAAGCAACCGTTACGGCTTAAAAAAAAAATTTTGTTCACTGTTTTTTTCGTTTCGTATGAACAAAATATGAAATAATTGAATTAATTTTATTTGAGAGGGTTTCAAATATTAAGATGAAACTAATATGTTTGTTTATTGGCTGACATCTAATTTATTTAAACTTAAATCTTATCAAAAAATTACGTTTTTGCGTTTTTTATATCAGTTTAAGATTCAGCGAATAAATTCAAGTCAGCTTTTAGTATAAAAGGAGAGGTTGATATCGCCGGCTCCCCTCTTACGAGTAAATTCTTATCTTGAGCTCTTACCTTGTTGCCAGATCCCCATGAACGAAGTTCATTTGCTCCAAATGCTTCATGCCCGATGCAATTTGTGTCGCCATGTAGACTAAGCACCCATAGCTGTGCCGCCGAGGTGAAGGGATTCCGAGTGTGGGAGGGTGTCCGGACCGGATGCGGAAGATGCCAACGTCAAATGAGAATTTGAAAAGTTTTCAAGTGCGACAACGTCGCCAAAGTTGGAGGGTTGGGCGAGCCAAGTTAACGAAGTTTTAACATCCGTTTGCGCATTTCGGTGGTTGGTTCATTGGATGGTTGGAACGGTCGTTGGCGGATCGGTGTTATCATTGAACACGAGGCCGGAAATATAGCGTCGGTAACAGGCGACGGTTAAGGAAGGACGATAAAGCGCACGCAAAAAGAAAGCGGGGAAAGCAGGGAAAATCAGTAGGAAGACATTCACGCATTAGTTTAAAAGTACTCTCGAGGGCACCGCAGAGTGTCCTTACCTCAGACTTTTATTGCTAATCAGGCCGCTGTTCTCGGCAACGTGCTCCTGCAGGAACTGATTCAAGTCGCCGAGGCAGTGCGAGTAGTCCTGCACAATGCAGATAGGCTCGTCCCGCAGACAGGCCCCCACCAAACGGGCCACATTTGGATCGCTCAGCTGCGCCAGCTGCATGGCCTTGCTGCGAAACTCCTTGCGCAGGGTATCGCTGGCCCCGGGTCGCAAAGTGGCCACTGCCACGAGGGTGGCGCTGCAAGTGGGGTAAGATTGGTCAAGATTGCGCAGGGATAATGATGCGATGCAGGAAGAGAGGGGGATGGATGGGTCGTCGGAAGACACATTTTTCCTTACATAGAAAAAAAGATTTTCTAAAAGTTCAATTTAGTTAACATTTTAAGCCTTTTATTATTATTTTTTTTAGAAATTTCAATGTTTCAATTCAAGCAAAAAGAAATATATGTAAAAACAAGAAAGTAAGCAACCTTCGGCAAGCCGAAGTTTATATACCCTTGCAGTTATTACAAAACGACTACATTTTGATTTAAATGCCTATATTACTAAAAACAATGAAGCTATGTCGATTTTGCGCTGCATTTCGCCAAGACTAAAAAACTTATTGCTGATATAGTAAATAATTAAAATAAACACTGGGTGATCGTTCATCAGCCACTACGAAAAAATTACAAAATGTAATCTTTTTTCAGCAGAGTGTTTCTTGTATCAATATACTGAAAAAATCTAAAAACCAGGCTGCATGAATTAAGTGCATCTGTGAACTTTTAATAATCAAATAATTAAACAAGAACATTGTTTAATTTTTTTTTCAATTTCTTTGTACACTGGCAGATTTGTCTTGGCAAGGAACATTAGAATATCTTTTTAGAGCCCTTTACGGCAGATAAGTTTACTTTTAATTTTTAACTGCCATCCTGGAAATATTAAAGTCATTTCGCTGGCGAACTTTCTTTTCGATCTGAGTACTAGTCGCGACGAAGTTAGTCGTCTAAAAAATTGCAGCTGATGTGCAACCGACTAAAAATGTTGCTGGTGACCTCCGCTTTCATGGTGTGTCATACACTCAAGGCAAAGATGTAAGGGTTAAAACCCGCCAGAAACGGAAATTAAATAGTTGACGCAATAAATATCATGAAGTTCGAACGAACAGACAAGGTCAAACTTGTGTGGGTCTTAGGAGCCCATAGGCGCGAAGGCAAAAATTAGCTATTTACGAGTGACGTTGATATACCCTCCCCCCAACAATATATATATTTCTTAGGGTCGGAAATGTCTCCAAGACATCATGGCTAAATTTTCACTGAAATTATAACACAATCTGCAAAAGTATAAATAGTTTCTAACCAATTTATATTTTTGTAATGATAGATCACTGTTATTTATTTAAAAAAAAAAAAAAAAACTTTTTTAGCAAATGATGTCTCTGTCTACCATATAAAATAAATAAATATATTTTTAATTAAGAACTGTATTTTATTCTCGTAACCTATTATTTTTTTGTCGTTTGTTTTGCAGCTCGTTTTCTTGACTTAAATAGTTTTATTCAATTTTTTGATAGGTAAATAAAACATAAAAAACAAGTGTTATTCGTCCGCCGGAAATTAAAAATCAGAATAAGCTATGTGTGACTTAATTATGTTGCAAGTAAAGCATTAACTATTTAGTTAAGCAGAATTGTAAATTAATCTACGTCCCAAATAAACAAAAAACAAACGGTATTTGTTCGCTGACGATTTTTTAAAATTTTTTCATCTCCTTTTTCGGAATGTGGTTTTGATTTTAATGTCTTTTATTATTTTCGTTGGTGGTCTATCAATAAAATCTTCTTCTGTCTGGCAACTGTCTTTCCAGCTGACTATTAACATTTTATCGCTTTAGAGGTCGGAAGGACGTGACGACCTTAAAGTTGCCTACCTCAATATTGTTATTTTCTAATTATTTTCCATACATCTGTATGAGTTCCAGACTTACTCTCCATCTCCCACAGCCGTCCTGGTCAACTTTGCCTGCTGCCTGAGCAATATTACGTATACGTAATACGTTCAGTGGCTTTCCAACCGCAAAACTATTAAAGCAAGCTGGCAAATCGATTTGTTAAGTAACGCATTAAAATGTGCCAGGAGCAGAATATCAGACTGCCAAGTTATTGCTGGCTTTAATTGATTTTGCTTTTCAAAACCAGAGATTGAGAGCAAAAGTTATTGTAGCACTGCTTGTCCTACCGGATATATGTGTAGGTATGTTTAGAAAATCCGATGGATTTGTTTTCTTTTTGTGGCTTATGAAACAACTATGTTCACCAAAAATCGATTTATGATTCACCCATTACAAATTAAGGAATTTATAATTTCCCAAATTTTCTCAATGAGGAAAAAAACTAGCTAACGAAATTGTATGAAAGTGTATTTTATGCGAGCTGAAGTTTCTCCACTCTCTCCTTTCGCACCATCAGAAGCCAACAAACCATTTACAAGTTAAATCATTTTGACTGCATTTCCGATTTGACAATACACAGAAAAAGAAACTGTGCAAACAAATTAAGGAAAATACATCAAATATACAAGCAAATCAGGTGTTCGCCAGGGATCTGTTTGGGGTCATTATTGTTAACAATGTATTTAAATTATCTATATAATACACTGTCGATGTGTAATGTACGCGGACGACGTCCAATTATATGTAAGTATGAATTTGATTAATTATTATTTGTAGACTGGGCTTTGTAAAAATATTGACACTAGTAGCTTTTAGAAGCTTAGAACAGGAGATGCAGAGCTAGACTATACGAAATACATTTGACTGCATTGAATCAGAACAAATTAACCTAGTCAATGAACTGTCTTCATTTATAACCCTATTCGTGGTAGATTTATAGGCCCGACTAGACATTATATTCCTCTAATCTTAAATCACTGTAAATCTAAATATGACTTCCATGTTTGCGTGTAAAAAAAAAACCATTTAAATTTCACAATAGCAAAAGATACCTAACCAACTGAAATCTGGTTACAATGAAAGTTGTTTGCCTCTCTACTTTTGACTCTCTCAATTATTTGATTTTTGAAGTAGAACGGACAATCTGAACATATAAGTAACAAGAAAGTTTGTTCCTAAGGGAGCTATATGATATAGTTATATACTACCTGCTATAGAAAGACAACTTTTGGGAAAATTTCAAGCAGATAGCTTTAAAACTGAGGGACTAGTTTGCGTAGAAACGGACGGACAGACGGACGGACAGACGGACATGGCTAGATCGACTCTCCTGCTGATGCTGATCGGAAATGTCTCCATCACTGTGTTGCAAACTTTTGAATGAAATTACAATACTCTCTGGAAGGGTATACAAATTTGTCTTATGAAAGGGGGCATTAAGTGCTTAAATGCGTTTGTTTCAATAGTTTAATTTTGGATCAACTTCGCAACATAAAATATAATTTCAGTTCTCTAGCCTGAGTTATTTTATTTCGGGAACAAGTTTCTGTGTGCATTTAGATTTGGTCTGGTGGTGGAGTCAAGGGTTACAGGAGCGGAGGTGAGTGGTCTGTTTGCTATGTACAGTACTTACTTCAGCACATTTGTTTCGCACAAATGCAGCTCACCGAATACGCCAAAGCCCAGTTTCTCGACGATAACCAGCGATTGACGTGGAAACTCCTGCACTTGGCAATTCGCCCGCTCTTCGTTAATGTCGGTGAAATTAGCGCTCAAATCCGAATTGTAATGATGCGGTTTGCCCACACCCACATACGTGGGCATGGTCGCTGCCGTTGTCGAGGAGCAGAGGGACCCGCTGCTCTGGGATCCCGGCGGCGGCACAGCCAAGGGTTTGTTGCAAATTGGAGTGGCTGCGTAATATTTCTCCGGCGGCGGGGGTGCGGGGGGCGGGGGCAGCGGGAGTTTGGCGAAATTAAGAGAGTTGCGTGCACTGGCGGTGGCGTCGCCAGCGGCAACAACAGCCTCAGGACTCGACCCCGTTCCCGTTCCCGATCCCGATCCCGGCCCACATTCTGACCCACAAGTAGGAGGATTGGGCAGCAGCTGCTGCATGTGAGGCACCGCATACTCCTGACACACAATGTCCGGCACGTCTGTAATTAGATGGAGATGGGGAAGGTGAAAATAGTATAAATGCATGTGGCAACTGCATACTTAAAACTCTAAAAAACTAGTACTAAAATAATTAAAGTATAATACAACTTGAACTTAAAAACATTTGAGGAATACCTAAAACTTTATTTTTGTGAGCTGAAGCAATAAAAATAACCCGTTCATGTTTTGTATAAACCCGTCTTATATGCAAATAAAATGTCATAAAATCTATTACTGATTAAAGTAATTTAAGTATTAGCAAATAGTAAAAGATACGAAATCAGCACAAAATCTGGTCAATCGATAACATATTATTTGCAAATATGTGGGGCATATAGACCTAATCTTGTAATTATCTACACACCAAAATTAATCATGAAAGTGCAAGTATCTAAAGCAGTTTTCGGCTTATATCCATCTTTATTTTCCCATAAATTTAACATTGGCATTTACAAAAATGCCCTTCCACTATTCTCATATTATTCCGTTTTTTAATCCGTCAGTGTTGCATAAACAGGAATTCATGAAACTCATTGCAGAAATACAGTATGTATGCGTGTCAAACAGACTGGCTGAAAACGGCGACCTGCTTACAAATGACTTTCTTTCCTCGGTTCTGCTGACGGTTATTGCAATATTTATTTGCACGCAAAGTTATTAATCCTTTTTTTCCAGCTTGTGCTTGTTTACTGGCTTTATGGTCTAGTGCAAATTGGCATTTGACTTCAAATATATACTTTAATTTGAGTGACTTAAGTACAGTTGAATTGTTCCCGATGAAAAAGTTTTCAGCCGGTAAGAAGTTTCAAGCACTCAATTTGGAATCGCGCGAGACTGTGACGAGCCGAGCCAGCAACCCAACTTATAATTTATTTCAGCCAAATTAAATTAATATAGCAACTAGGCAGACTGCGACTAAAAGAGGGAAAGGGACGACAAAGGAAGCATGACAAATATTTGCTGCCCAGTTATAAAATGCACCCAAGGGCGACGTCAGGAAAGTTTTGGCCAAATTACTCGAGCGCATGAAAGGCGTGCTATTAACGTTTATGATGAGTGGGAGTTAAGGACCAGGATTGGCACGTGGATTGAAGCCAGTGCTGGAGTTCGTTGGGAATGTCTTCGAACAATGCAGACTGGATGATGGGTTATGTCGATGCGAAGCCACTAAGCGCATCTTACGTAAGGGCCGAAAGCCGAAGAGTTAAATATTTGTAACATGCCTTAGGCGACGGAGGACGTTAGAAGTTATTACAATTTACGAAGCACAGGTTGTAACTTCCAACTGCAGCTTTATGTCCGTGTGGCAATTAAAACAGTGTACAGGTCGCACACAAAAAAGTGGCACACGAAACATTTTACTTGCTTTCTGAACTGGTAATACCCTTGCTTGCAAAGTCTGTGATTGTTTCGGGATGAATAGTGCACGAAAAGAGTTCTCCAGCATTATTTTCTTAGCCATTTTGTATCACTTCAATTTTGAACCTTACTGTAAAATTGTTATGATATTTGTTTTAAATTATTCTTACCAACTGATTAGAGCAAGTTATGGGGGTAACAATTTTTTTTGTTATAACATTTTTCTTTGAGCAAAAAACAAATTATCATTATACATAGGATCAACCAGAAAATTAAATTTTTTTTTTATATTTTTAGAGACTTTTTATAAATTTTTTTTAATTTCAAAACTATTGCAGGGAAATCGCTTTAGAGGTTGGTACACCTAGAGTAAAAGGACTTCAATTGAAACAGATATTTTTTTAACGGAAGAAAATAAAGACCAAACGTGTTCTTTTGTTTAAAACTACTTAAAAAAATCTATATATTAAAGCTCAGACCTATCCACACTTCATGCCATATTAGCTGCTTATTTTGCAGCATATATCTTATTTTTTGAGGTTTTTTTAATTATTCGCATACCGGTTTTTTTTTGCCACACAATATATCTAGTCAGTTATCCAAGTCTTAAAGTAAAATGATGCATTTAATATTGCCACAAAATTGCAAAATTCTTAATTAAGTTTTGGCTAATTGTGTACAGACTTATTTGCGATGCATACATATATAATATTAATCATTTTGACTTTTTATTTTAGGCCAACTGTTATCAATTATATTTATTAATTTTCGTTACATATACCAATACAAAGTCCGCATACCCTGTCAAACATTCTGTATACCGCCCGACTCAGCAATTCAAATTTATGTCCTGCGGTGCGAGCAACGCGCTCTAGCGACCAATTTTTTATTCCTGTCCAGTTTCTTTTGCCCAGCATCACGTAACCCTGTGAACTCCGCACCACAAACTTTCGGATCCATGTTCCCCGCTAAATTAAGCATTGCGTTCTCTATACCGCCCCACCCCGCCCCTCTCCATTTGCCATCGTGCCGCAGGAACATTTGCATGTCCTGTCACAGGCAGGAGGCAAAACATCAAACTCATCAAGCGCCGTACTGTCAGCGCAGTTACTCGGCTGAAGGCAAGTGCCCACACATCATTGTCAAAGGTGCTTCTACCCTGGCACCATCATCAGCCAATCCGATACACAGGTTCATGGCTAGATAGACTTTATACATATATAAGTCCAGATGACTTTATATATTTTTCTGTTTTACCATATTAATTTTAGGAATAATTCTAATCATCATAAGGTTATATGTTGATTTTATATATTTTTCTTTTCTAACCACATTACCTTTAAGAAATTATTCTATTCATCATAAGGCTACAGGTTCGTGGCTATAAAGTCCTTATAGTCTTATATATATATTAGTCCAGATGATTTTATATATTTTTCATTTCTAACCACATTAATTTTTAAGAAATTATTCTAATCATCATAAGGCTGGGATGACACATTGAATTTCTAGCATTAATTAATTGTAGGTCGAACAATCAAATTTAGAGGCACAGCTACGAAAAATGTATTATGTATCTCATAAAGCATGTTAAGTATTTATAGTATTTTTAAAGAATTTAATCCAGAAATATGTTTTTACAATTGAATCGTGTGAAAATTAAAAAGTTACAATTTTGTTAAATAAAATAATTCTTATAATGTTAAGTGTCTATGCTTATAGATATTAAATTGGGATATTCAAATAACATTATTTTCCAAGAAATATAAAATAATAAATGCTATTTTGGGGCTGTACAGAGAAATTGTCATAATGGAAGTATGAATTTGGGGCCTACAATATTTTACCAAAGCGTTAGAATTCTCCATTCTCCATTCCACATGTGCAACACTCAGCAGCAACCATTTTCAATGAAATGATGATTTGCGACCAGGGTGCATTGATAGACTCACCTGTATAGTCCGGCAATACATGCTGACGCTGCAGGTCATTCATGGGGCAAGCACTGGCCGCACTGGTGTACATGTTCGCGTTGAAGGGCTCATGGTACAGACTGTTCTTGTCAATGGACGACTCATTGTCATCCGTTGTCGGGAGCACCTGGGGGAAAAAATGGCAGCAGATAGTGAAAAAAATCATGGCTAGCTTCGGGCCACCTTTTTTTTTTGCATTCCGCAGTCCGGTTACTACAGCTTTTAATCATGATTTCTGGAATATGGCCAGTGTTAGTGCTTTTGTATGTTGGTAACATTCTGCACGATCTTTTTTGCTTCCCTTGGCCCCAAAGCTGCAGGACATGCACCCTGAATAGTCCAAGGATCCAACTGAGCATGCCGGCGGGGTCGAGGGTTGTTGTGCTATTTGCATGTTACGTAGCCCGGTGCGTTCGGCGGAATGCATTAGTGGGGCTCGAGGTGTGGTCTGGGTTTAGGCGCTTACCTTCAGGACACCGTTACCGTTCAACGAGTCCGTGTTGAAATTGTGTTGAAACGCTCCCAGCACGTTGTCCCTGCCGCGGGAGCGTTTGCTACGAGCTACCATCAACAATATAAATGTCACTAGTAGCATGATAATTGTGGCCAACACTGTGATAATGACGCCCACGAAACTCTTCGGTGGTTCCTGGTGGTCAATGGGTTTCGGAGAGATAACTGTGGAAAGAAGTTGGGGAATTCAATGTATTACTCTATTCACACCTCCAAACCTACGCGCTTTTATATTTCAGAGCACCTGGGTATCGCATTTCATTTGTTTATAGGGACACAGACGTTGTTGCTCTTGCAACTATCTTCAAAGTGGGTAGATCAAATTGTGTATTCGAAAATTAAAACCCATGTTAAAACTTTCACAGCTTAGGGTTACAGTGTCAATCAAATTAAAGTGTGTGTCAAATATAAAAGAGAACACATGTGTCTTTGACACTCGCAAGATATCTTGGTTTTTGATCATAGACTAGTTATATTTTCTTTTTATATCAGATCTCAATAGACTTTAATTTTTGTGCGTTACTGCCTACCTTTGCCTGTTTAGTGACTTTTCTGAGGATACAAAATAAATAATAAAATAATAATTAATAAAACAATTAGAAAACAATTTTTTTTGGTTTGTTTTAAAAATTAATTTTCCAATCAAGAATTGGCTAAAAATAACTAGAATCAAAATTTTGTAATAAAAATCAAAACAAACCGTTTTCGAACTATGTTCTAGATTTCATTGACTTTTAATACATAGATATTCCAAATTATTTCCATTTGATCCCCAATTCTTAAAGGCATTTAAGGATCATTATAAATTTGGTAAGTAAGTTTCCATGATTGCCTTGACAAGTGATAAGCTTTTTATAATGTGGTTTTACGTTAATAAAAATCGAATCCTTACTTTTTTTGATGTTACACCGTAACGATATTATTTTTAAGGCTTTCATATTAACGCAGTATGAAACTACTTTCTTTCCCGTTTATTATAAGTACTAGTTGATTTGATGATTTATCATTAATAGTTGATTGGCTCAATTGTGATGGATCTACCTGGGCTTTGTTCAACTCACCTTGAGTGGTGTGCTGGCTCTGTTCGCCTCCGCTGCTCACCGGTCGTCCGACTTCATCGCGCTGCAGCGGATACTCGGTGGTGTCCAACTGACTGACGCCATTCGGCGGAGACGCTTTGGGAGGCTCATCGTCTGAAAAGTTACCGACAGCAGGCACTGAAAGTGAAATAAGTGTGCAAAAATGTATAAGTATATAAATTCTTGATAAGTATCACCGTCTGCCCGTTTCTACGCAAAAGGGGCCCTCATCTATCTAAATGAAACTTACACAGAAGTCGTCCATTCCAAGAAAGTATATAAGTCAGGACGATCGAAAAAATAAGAATACATATATTTACTTTATAGGGTCGGAAATGTCTCCTTCACTGCGTTGCAAACTTTTGAATTCAAGGGTATTTCACTTACTTAGTTTAACATTTATACCACACACAGCTATCTTGGTATTTAGTTTAAACTAAATAGTATGACAAATAAACTAATAGTGCCACTATGACTATACCGAGTGAGTTTAAATCTTAACTCGTCAGCAATAAATTTAATTGTTTGGAAAGCTTTATTTAAATACTATCGAAGTTACGTTGATGATAAAAAGCTTATCGAGAAATTTGTAATAGTCAATAGTATAGAATTTATGTAACAATCGTTTTGATCTATGACCATTTTTTTGGGTGTAGTTAACCGAATACTAAGCTGGGCGTGGCTGCCAACCGTTTATAAATTACCTCTTCAATTAGGGAGTTGGTGGGATGACGGAGTCCAGACGAAGAATGACAAGAAACGGATGATTGGCAATTAGTGCTGCATAGCATTGGCTGCACATTTTCTTAAAGGCGGTGGAGCATATGTGTGCGATTATTTACACCTCCTCGCCATCTGAGTTGATAGCTTGCTCCCGACATAGATGAACAAAAAAACAAATATATATCCATTCAAGGGCCATAACAAAGATCTATGATAACATCATAACATGGACTTTGTTAAACCCTTGCAGAGGGTATTATAATTTCAAATTCAAAAGCTTGCAACGCTGTGAAGGAAACATTTCCGACCATATAAAGAATTTATATTCTTGATCACCATCAACAGGATAGTCGATTTAGCCATGTCCGTCTGTCCGTAAAAACCCATTTTTTTCAGAACAACATTATCGCTTAATTTATTTTTTATACCCTTGCAGAGGGTATTATAATTTTGGTCAAAAGTGTGCAACGCAGTGAAGGAGACAACTCCGACCCTATAAAGTATATATATTCTTGATCAGGATCACCTCCTGAGTTGATATAGCCATGTCCGTCTGTCCGTCTGTCTGTCCGTCTGTCTGTCCGTCTGTCTGTCCGTCTGTCTGTCCGTCCGTCTGTCTGTCCGTCTGTCTGTCCGTCTGTCTGTCCGTCTGTCTGTCCGTCTGTCTGTCCGTCTGTCTGTCCGTCTGTCTGTCCGTCTGTCTGTCCGTCTGTCTGTTTCTACGCGAACTAGTCTCTCAGTTTTAAAGATATCGAATTGATACTTTGCACACACGCTTCTTTCCTTTGCACGCAGTATATAAGTCGGAACGGCCGGGATCGGCCGACTATATCCTATAGCTGCCATATAACTGATTGATCGGAAATGCCATAACTTTGGTGTTTGTAAAGTTAGGAAGTTGGGATTTTCTATGGGTTTTATATTTGATCAATCAATCCGACCTACCAAATGTCATAAGGATCGGCCGACTATATCCTATAGCTGCCATATAACTGAACAATAGGAAATGCCATAACTTTGGTGTTTGTAAAGTTAGGAAGTTGGGATTTTTTATGAGTATTAAGAATGCATCTTATGAATAATTTTGAAGAATATAATTTACAGAGTGTTCTGCAAGGGTATATCAACTTCGGCTCCGCCCGAAGTTAGCTTTCCTTTCTCGTTTAAAGGTAAATTTATTCTTTAGTTAAGTTTACAGGTTAGATGAAATATTTGCAATTTTTTTTAAGGTTACCAAACAATTTTATCTGATTTAATCATTTTACTGGATTACTCTGAAACAATTTTTCAATTCGAAAATTCATTTAAGTTCTTTAAACCAATTTTTAGAAAAGTTTCGGAATGTACCTAACCAAAAAATTGCAAGCCGTCTAAAAAATATAAGCGTAAGTCTGAGTTTATATAATTATTGATTATAATATTACAAGAACCTTTAATCGCCATTTATAATAATTTTGAGCAGGTTATTTTTAATGGCGGTCCAAAGTTTAGGCATCTCTAATAAAAAACTGCAAAAAATTCAAACTAGTTTGCTAAATTAAATGAAATGTGTTTACTAACATGCCTTTTTAAGTTAATAATATTAAATAAATTTTAGATTATATGAGTAAAAATATATATTTTTCTACTTCCGCTTGGCAATAAACTTTTTTATATACTTTTCTTGTAAGTTGCATTTTAAGTTACCCATTAAAAGTCTCTGGCATCTGGGATTGCGCCAATTTGAAGCGGCATATGTTAAGGGAAGTGAACTTCCTTTTCTAATTCAGGAATTTACATATTGAGTACCAGTTGAAATATTAGCATAGCCCAAAATTGTCATTGACTATCTTGACGCTACATACGATGATATATTAATGGGACTTTGATATATAAAATTATACAGTGAATAAGAGAATAATCCATGTCATTATTTTGCATCCTGATGATTTTTAAAGCATCTTCACTTCCCGCTGTAAATTCGACTGCTATTAAGAAAATTACAAATCGAACTCGCAATTCATCGGCTCTTATGGCCTTTGATAGAGCAAAAGATCAACAGAGTTGAGCCATCTCCATTCAATGGCACACAAACCTCTCGCACTCATCGTCACACAAAGCGATTTTCAATTAGAAAGGATTAAGCGTGGCAAACTGCACAAGAACTTAAAGCGCAAGCAGCAAAGTTATTGAATTGAATTTGTATGCAGGCAGCGAATGACTAAAGCAGGTTACATCGAAATCTGAGAGCACAGCAAATGAAGCGAAGAAAACAGGACGAAAGTCTAGTGAAACACAAAGCCAAGTGCTCTATTTGCAAAATTATATTGCAATGTTATTGATTTATAAAGGCATGAGATCTTGCAGAGCTTAAACACCCTTCCAGGAGGGGATTTATAAGATTGAAAAAAAAATTAAAAAATGTAAAAACAGAATGCAAATGTGTAGTCGCCTTTGCCAGAACCATGAACAAAAAAAAACACACACAGGGCAAGCTTAAAATGTTCGTACTCAAATACTGAATTTTTGGAAAATAAGGCGTCGAGTTAAAAATTTTTGTTTGGCATTTAGATAAAAAATATAAGGCCAATAATAATGGAATTGTTTTGAAAAATATACTTTTATATTTTTATATTATTTATATAAATACAATATTATCCTCAATAAAGTGATTTGAAATTATCGCCTGCTCTGCATACAACTACTGGAAGTATTATAATTTGAAAAACAACAGTTTTGACTGCAATTATAATACCCTCTCTTTTTGTATATATTATAAGATACTCGTTACTAAAAACTCAAAATAAATATGCCCCAGCTAAAGGCGCATTACGACATTTGGAACACTTTTTATACCCTTGCAGAGGGTATTATAATTTTGGTCAAAAGTGTGCAACGCAGTGAAGGAGGCGTCTCCGACCCTATAAAGTATATATATTCTTGATCAGGATCACCTCCTGAGTTGATATAGCCATGTCCGTCTGTCCGTCTGTCCGTCTGTCCGTCTGTCTGTCCGTCTGTCCGTCTGTCCGTCTGTCTGTTTCTACGCAAACTAGTCTCTCAGTTTTAAAGCTATCGGATTGAAACTTTGCACACACCCTTCTTTCCTTTGCACGCAGTATATAAGTCGGAACGGCCGGGATCGGCCGACTATATCCTATAGCTGCCATATAACTGATTGATCGGAAATGCCATAACTTTGGTGTTTGTAAAGTTAGAAAGTTGGGATTTTCTATGGGTTTTATATTTGGCCAATCAATCCGACCTACCAAATTTCATAAGGATCGGCCGACTATATCCTATAGCTGCCATATAACTGATTGATCGGAAATGCCATAACTTTGGTGTTTGTAAAGTTAGAAAGTTGGGATTTTATATGGGTTTTATATTTGGCCAATAAATCCGACCTACCAAATTTCATAAGGATCGGCCGACTATATCCTATAGCTGCCATATAACTGAACGATTGGAAATGCCATAACTTTGTTGTTGTTAAAGCTAGGAAGTTCGGATTTTTTATGAGTATTAAGAATGCATCATATGAATAATTTTGGAGAATATAATTTACAGAGTATTCTGCAAGGGTATATCAACTTCGGCTCCGCCCGAAGTTAGCTTTTCTTTCTTGTTCATATTGTTTTAGTGCGGTTTTGACTTATACCTTCTGAGTCTCATAGTACATAGGGACATTGAGTTACTCTTCTAGTATCGAGTATAATTAAACCAATTAACCAACTTTTACTGAGGAAATATTTATACGTAGTCCATATGGCATACGGGTAGAATCCACCTAGGATTCGAAATTAATTATCCATCCAAAAGAATAATCTGTATAACATTCTATGCAATGTGCAAACCAAAAAGGGAATTTGAAGCTGACGAAGCTCCCTTCAAGGCTTCTACAACTCGATTCGACTGGCTGCTCAGAGCTGCTCATTGAGTTGCAAATATAAAATGCACAAAAGGAAGGCAACTCATTTAATTTTCACAATATCCCAGTGCATTGGTTCGGATTTTAGTTCTGTTTCTAGTGAAGCATGTGCTGCCGGATTCTGATTCGGATTCCCGTTGCGAGCGAGTATGTGTGTGGGCACTTCCGATTCTTCTGCCACGTCACAATGGCAGTCGAGTTGCAGCAGCAGTAACTAACATCCCGCTTCTGTGCACCGTGCCCCAAAGCTTTGAATCACTTTATGCACAATTTCATTCGGGACGGGAAAACAATACTGCCAGCTACTTGTACTCATCGGTGAGCTGGATGAAAATTAGCCCTGACACATTGTAAATGTAATATAATATTATATTACATACATTATAATATGATACACTATCTTTTATAATATACGTTTTCTTGAGATCAGAGACCAAAGTGTAATACGATTTTTCTATATTTAAAAATAAAGAAAAAATATTTTGTAATATTTTGCGTTGCCATTTGAAATTTCGCTTAAAGCTAGTTGCTAGCTTTGATGGTATTACAATGTTGCGGCCAAATGTCCTAAGTGTTATAATTTTTTCTTGAACATCTTTTGAAACAAGACAGTTGTTTTTTGTTTTTAAGGTAAAATTACTATAGATTAAAAATTTCTCAAATGTAATTTCATAAAGTAGCTTTCAGGCAAAGAAATCGATTTTCTTTGCATTGCCTTGGCAAATATATCTATCTATCTATCTTCCTTTCCTTTAAATCGTCTTGGAAAAAGTTTATTTAATTTTCAGTGGCTCTTACCTGAAATAAACGATATCTCGCTGAGCATAATCCAGCGGGCAGCGAAGTACAAATGCAACTGCAGAAAGCGCCCCAGGCGATGATGTAATTTGATTGTGACGTCGCGAGCGTGATCCAACACCAGGTCGGGCATGTACGAGAACTGCACCGCCTCCCCTGAGAACTGACGTCCGCTAATGCTGAAGAATATATCGGCGTGGACAAAGACCTGCAAGAAAAAGTGAGCAAATGAATAAACGTTGCCTATGGTGTTGATTTAAAATGTATCACAGTATTCTATTTCGTATATTTCGGCATTATCTACTTAGAAAAAATAACTTTAAAAACTCTTGAGTTAAAAATATAATATACAAGGCATAACAGATGCAGAGCACGAACGGCTAAAATTATTTTGAACATACACGGTCTAACACAATATTAATTTTTTTTATTTTCTGATATTTTTTAACAAAAATGTATTAAGATTTGCAATTAACAGGCGTTACGGCCCTCGCTGAGTATTTTACCGGAGTTAGAGAGAGTATGCTTACTAACGAAAATAACTTTAGTAATGATAATTCAGTATTAAGTATATAAAAAAATGGATCGATATTAGATTTTTGGGATTCCTATGCACATATCATATTATACTTTTGAAGAGAGTATTATTATTTCAGTCAAAAGTTTGCAACGCTGTGAAGGAGACATTTCCGACTTTATAAAGTATATAAATTCTTGATCAGCATCACCACGAGAGTCGATCTAGCCATGTCCGTCTGTCTTTCTGTCTGTCCGACCGTCTGTCCATGTAACAATACTTTCGTTTATATGACAATTTTTGGTTCGGTGTAAATATTGAAAGTATACAGTCACCTGAACATCTTTGGAGAACATGTTGTTCGTGTGTATAACCACAGCACTAAAATTCCGAACTGTCTCAAACTCGAATGTGATCTCTACAGGCCGGCCAAGCAAAGTGTCATTCCGCCAGCCAATCCATTCGTAGCCTGAAAAATAAAATGGTTAAATGCGGCCAATTTATATTTTACATTTGTAATAAAACAATAAATTAATTAGTGGTTTTAGCAACAATAATCAGTAATTTTTTTTTCTGATAAAAATTGTTATTAGTTGAGATATATAATTTCAAAAAAAAATTGCTAATGTATTTAATTTTTTAGAAGTAGATTAGATTTATGTAAAAAAAAAACTTTTTAATTTAATTTCTTTCGCTTGGATCTTCAAGGGGATAAGCAGGTATATTCACTTGGTCTGGCAAATTGAAACCTTTTCCTTAGAAACTAATCTTTTATGATAGGAGTCGTTTGTTATTCACCTTTACAGAAAGGTGAGCATATACAGTGTGGTAACAAAATTGTCTGCTATTCCTAAGTTTTTTAAAAGGGTTATTGACCTCATTTGCAACACCTTTGGAGATCACTTATATTTTAATATCAAAATGGATTCATAAAGCAAAGATCGACCGTGACAAACGTCTTGGAGCATTTGTAATATAAGGCTTTAGAAATAACTTTTAGACTGGCGCAGTATTCACTGATTTTGATTCTGTAACTTCACTCACATACCGAGGATTTTTATTTTTTGCGCGGAGTTCCAGGCCTATAACCCGCTCAACCGACTAAAGGACGCAGCCGTGTGACGGAAGGCCCGATTTTCGTCCGGGGAAAATAGTAAGACCCAATTTTGTGCTAATGAATGTCAAGTCAAGTTAAGAATCAAGATTTGAGATTATATTTATTATTATATCGTAATACTCTGACAGGCTCATGCAAGTCATAGTTAGATCTACGCGAATTTAATATTAGGGGAATATAAATCGACTATAATATTTAACTGACATAGGAATGACAGGGAAATAATTTGTGCGGACGTTAGCCGAAGCGTCTCGTGTTTTTGGTTACAAATTTTTTTTTTTTTAATTATTATATATTGACCTAAAATCGAAGTGTTTTCCTTTTTTTTGCCCAATCCTGACCCACTTAAAAATCCGTTTTAAAAATATACCTTACCTTTGCCAAAGCCACTTGTATCGATGCGAAAGTTATCCTTGCCCCGCTGACTATCAACAAGCTGGCCCAAGCCATTCTTATAATGATCCTTCTCCTCGTGGCCATCATAAGTCTTATCAGACAAATCGATTTCCATGCCTCGCTGCATACCTTTGGGAATACTGTAGGACACAATTCCTTCTAAAAATACAATGGTACAAAATATATGTATATGGTATAAGTGACGGACTAGAAGGGTTAGTATATTAAATGTTGTCTTTTCAGCATTATTTAAATATTTGACATCTTAAACAAGTGACTTGTTTGCAGCAGGAAAACAAGGAGAAACGCTATAGTCGAGTGCAACGACGATACCCGTTACTCACCTAATCAATTTAAAATAAAACAGTTTACTAGTTTTGTCGCTCTTTTATTTTCTCTCAAATATATAAACCTTATTTTAAATATGCAAAAATTTCATAATTAACACTTAAAATGTTCTATAACTTGTAAAGTAATGGTGGAACTTGGAAAATTTTTAGAGTGTTAATAGATATTGACTGAATAAGTATTTTAGTGCTAGTTTTTATGGGTTATTTGGTTATAGCGCTCAGTAACAGTCTCTCTGTTTGGTGATATGTAAGCGTTAGAAGCAACATTTCGTAAATTTAGCTGCCTAAGAAACCCGGGAATCTCCATGCTAAAATACAAATCTCTAGTTCTTGTAGTTCTATATTTGAGATCTGGACATTCGTACGGATGAACAGACAGACGGACATGACTTAATCGACTCTGCTATTCTGGTATTGATCAATAATATATATATATATATATTCAAAGTGTTTCTTTTTTCTCCCTGTTATAGAGTCTTCAAACCCTATAAAGTATATGTATTCTTGCCCATCTCTCCGTTGGGTTCTATGCAAACTAGTCTCTCAGTTATAAAGCTATCTGGATGAAACATTTTGGGGATTTTTTTTTGTAGTGTAAATAAATATTTTTCTTTGTAAGCCCCAGGCCAAAAGCCAGTTCAAATGGGAGTATATAGTGTCTTCTGATGGCAAGCAAAGGGGCACCTACCTTTCCAGGCACATCCCACTATTTCGGCACGCAGGCAAACGGTGCGATCGTACTGGCTGTAGGGATAGATTCGCACCTTCGAAGCGAAGATGCTGGGCTGCAGCACGTTCTCCACCTCGCTGTAGGTGTTTATATTGCCGGGCAGTATCTGCAACGGGAGGAGAGACGGGGGAACTCAGACAGGCATTACAAATGGGTGTTTGGCTTGTGTAGGTGGCAATAGGCAATCGAAAATAAAAACAAAAGCTCTAAAATTGATTTCACATTGCTGGAGCGAGTTAATCGATGGAACGGGTTCGGGTTTTGTTTGGTCCCCAGCTCCGACACCTACTCAATTCTACTATTCCTCTACTTTCCGATGATTCGCACGTAAACGGTTTCGTTAAAAGATGCAATATCTTCTGCAAAATATTTTCCCCAGCCTGAGACGGCTCAGATTCTTATCTGCTGACCCTGGCCTGCTCATGATTAATGTGTGAATCGGGAAAGCCAGAAATGTATTGGTTATGAGGACATGAAAAGAGAATACCACTTATAGAGATCCTATTTGTTTTAACTAAGTTTTCTTTCAAATAATAAAGGTACGTAGCCGAACAAATTCCACGCACCATTTATACTCTTACATGATATTTGGGTGCTCCCAATTGAAAGTTAGGAGATATGAAACAAGGGTTCCTTCCTTTCTTGTTTCAATTTATAATCATTTTTCGTCATATTTTTTCAGTAATATTTCTTTTTGAAGGTGCGATTGTTATGTCTTTCTTACCTTGTTCAGAGGTGGATTCATCTGTTATTATAATATTTTTTACCTCATTGCCTTGAGTGCTCCTCCATCGAATCCATTTTTCAAAACTCGGTCTCCAGTAGTCGAGGACATATGCTTCAGTATATTCCTGTCCCTGACCTTTGCCAAAGCGACCTTGAGTTCGTATGGCGGTGACCAGGTGCACATTTAGTAGGTCGATTTGTAAATACTCTTTCAGCTCTCGTGATACCATGTGCTTGGGACACCACGCTCCTCCGTTAATGTCGACCTTAAGTCTGCAAGGAAATGTAATTTACATTGGGTTACAAGGCATTTTTTGTTGATTTAAGATAGGGGAGTTGATCGAGTTGAGACACTCTTGCTTTTTTAACTTTAAAAATAACAAAAAAAATACTATAAATAGGAAACAAGATAAACTTCGAAAAAGGCTTAAACTTTGATCATTTTCAAATTTAGTCGATACAGTAAAAAACATCGGGAAATATGTATTTATTGACCATAGTCATTACTTTCTTCTATATGGTAACGTATTTTAAGCTGACCATCCCATCATTAAAGTCAAGCTGCCCTACACCTTTGGAAGACAACCTTACACCCTTTACGGATGACTCTCCTTCGCGCTTCACCGACATTTACATAAATTTTAGCTTCACGGCTAAGTATATATGTAATTTATCCCCGAACATACTCTATAGAACTTATATCCAATTTCTCGCATCTTCAGCCGCGAGACGCTAAACACATTTTCAGAATTATATTTCCCCAAAAGTTTTCCATTTTTACAAATATCTAAAGCCAAACATTTTTTTTTTTTGCAAATCAGCACACAACCTGCCATTGTAGCTTTATCAAAGTTAAGAGAATAAAATTCATTCAGTTAAAAATAAGTTGTCATGTGTTATGTACATTATTATTGACAATATCATTTACTAAACATTACATACGGGTAAAAAAGCTTGCCGTGCTAATTAAAAGTGGTTGGTTGATTTATCCATGCCCGTCTATCTGTACATCCGTATAAACATGAAGACCGCGAAAACTACAATAGCTAGAGATTTGTGATGTAGATTCCATCTCTTGTGAGGCACCGTAAAAGCTGCCCCACATTCCTACAAATATTGGTAGACAATAAGCTAATAATGATAAGATAGTAATTTAAGATGTACATATTGGTAGACAATAAGAAAAAAAAAGAGAACTAGTACTAAGATAGGATAGGCCACGGAGGCAGGCAAGAAGCCAAAAGAGCCGTTAAGTTCAAAAGAACTTCGGCCGTTAGCCGGTAGTTCAAACAGGCGTTATTTAATGTAGGATCTCAGCTGATCAAGCACTCTACTCAGCGAGTTAGGCGATCTACACACGATCGGATTAGGCGACCTGCGCACGGTTTCAGTGTTGAGAAGCGAGGCCCCGGCTGGCTATATAAACCCGGCGGCTGCTAGCCCAGGTCTCTCTTTTTCATTTCGCCACCAGTCAAGGAACAAGCATCGAAGCCAGAGGAAACCACGCAAAAGGACACGCAGGACACCAAGGACCCGCAGGACATCAAGGATCAGGACGAAGGACCCTAGTGAGTAGAGTGCGAGAGAGATAGGGAGAGACAGGGAAGGAAAATAGTGCGGCTAGGGAAAATATCCAGATAGAAAAGAGGAAGAAAAGCCCACAAAGATAACCAAGCAAAAATAAAACGAAAACACGGACAATAAGAACAGCGAACATACACCGAGTTGGGTTTATTTCTTCCCGGACCCTCAGAGCCCTGATCCGCGTGTGCTAAAACAGTGGCCTAAACCGAGCTGGTTGCGTTTTCGAGAAGATTCCTCTGCGCAACTGGACCTTGGTGGCAGCCACGTGCACAGACGTGAAGGCGTGCAAGTACGGGTTTTCTCTCCGCTTGCATAGCTTTCCGTCGCGATTCCGGTCGACACACCCAAGCCTCAAGTAACCCGAACCCGACCCGCGTGTGCCAAACAGTGGCCCAGGCCAAGCCGGTTGCGTTTCCGAGAAGATTCCTCTGCGCAACTGGACTTTGGTGGCAACCACGTGCACAGACGTGAAGGCGTGTAAGTACGGGCTTTCTCTCCGCTTGCATAGCTTTCCGTCTCGGTTTCGACCGACGCACACCCATCCCGAACATAGGGAGCCTGTCCCAGAACTGGGAACGCCGACTTCTGTCCATGTTTAGAGACGATTCCTCTGCGTGGGCGTGAAACAGCGTCCCAGGCGGCGGGAGTTGACACAGTGGTACGGGCCAATTCCCCCACTGTGCCTCTTCCGGCACGCACGTGACGGCCTTCACTCGTTCGCATCCGGCCCAAATCCGAGTTCCATACGCCTGATCTGACCCACCAATAAGGACAACCGCGCGCATCGGCGACTGCGTCCAGATTGCCCGCCTCAACTCGTCCCCACTTATTTACAAATTCGATTGTAAAGGATCCTGGGGAGACTGAGCTCCATCCCAGCCGTAGAAACATCCTTACACTCTCACAAATCGCGAAACTCTTTAGGTACATGGTAAAGGATAGTTATTGGCAGGTATGTATATACTGGCACCGCCGTTGAAAACTTATTCTGTTAATACCTATCGACACATAAATTTCAACCTTTTTCAGAAGATATAAGCAACTTAAAGTATTAATTATGACAACACTGCATATCGGAAAAATGGAGCTGCTTGTTCTCAGCTTGTAATGTTGACACTGTCTATAGCGTTAGTGCTTGTTTGTTTTCAATATTATCTTCGATATGATCCTTCAGGGATACAAGGTGTAGATCTTAGAACATTCATAGGGTCGAGCTATATTATATTAAATAACAAGAAATGTCTAAAAACGAAGATTAAAGCCAGTGCAGCCCCAAGTCCATAGCGGTGAGGATATAAATATCCATTTACCAAAAAGGTGGGGGCTTAGAAGGAAGACGGGTCTGCCGCACAAAGTTTCGCACATATTCCACCCATGACCTACATTCTGTATTCTCGGTACAGTTGTATTATTTTCCGTATACATTTTCTTTCCACATATGTACGGATGTGTTTGTAGGGCATATTTTTGGCAGCCAGTGGCCTGTTCGCGGTTTTTTCGCTTTTTACGTTAATCGTGGTTTACAACGCCCGAAATAAGGATACTATAAGGCAAGTTCGTTCCAAAGCACTGAAAGGATCTCCCCAATATGCAAACCAAGTCAGCGATGCCATGCTGGCACATTGGCCGATTAGACCCTTCAGTTCCCCCTTCGCTGCGACTCCACACATTTTTAGGAGAGCGTCGAGTTTTTCGGCATTAATAACAATTTGGAAGTCATAATTCCAAAGGGTCGTGTTGTGGGAACTGTGGCTTCGGAGCTGGAAAACGTGACACACATTGTGGGGCGTAATACTTTATCAGGTTTATTTAAATAACTGTACTTTTCCTTTAATTTCAATGTATAGATAACATTATTTTATTTTTGTTATAAATGCTTTTTAGATATCTATGTATAATTTAATAATTTACATATAACTTTTTCCATATCTTACCGATTTTAAAGGTAGTTAACGAGACTGAACATATTCAGTGAAGTCAAAATTTAAACGTACCTAATAACAGAAATTTGGTGTTTTAACAGATATTGACAGAATAAGCCAATAACGCCCATGTTTCAGTGTGGCATTCAAGAGTTTCGCGATTTAAATTAAATAAACTTGCACTACGAAGGCTTACTGACCTCGATGTAAAACGGTCGAAAGTGTCTCCTTCACTGCCATGCAAACTTTAGACTGAAATTATAATACCCTCTGCAAGGGTATAAAAATAATAAAGGAAGCAAACTTCGGTAACCCAAAGATTATTTACCCTTGCAAAATGAAAATTCGTAATTCTAAAAAGGTATAAAATTGTGTTATCTCGGAGTATATCCGTAAATGTAAAAAAACAACGAAGTAAACATTTTAAAATGTATGTTTCCGATTGTTCCTATGGAAACAATATTGTCGTTCGATCCATCCCTCTTCGACTACGTGCAATAGAAAGAAGACTTTTGGGAAAGTTTCATCCAGATAGCTTTAAAACTGATGGACTGCCGATGATGGTCAATAATAAATAAACTTTATGTGGTCGGAAATATCTCCTTCAGTACGTTGCAAACTTTTGACTGAAATTATAAGTCCGCAAGGGTAAACAAATTGTTAAAGAAGTGTAATTTAATGGCCTCTTTACGGGAATTCCCTCTCAATGTATTTGAATAAGTCTGTGAAGGGAGGATTTAAAATTTTCACCTTTACGGTTTCCAACGAAAAACTAAGCAGATTTTCAAAAGCCTGGGATTCCCAAAAGTTATGTCCACTTGGATACTTAACTTTTGGTTCGAGGACAAAACATAAGCGGCTTAAATTTTATTTTTCCACTAAAAAACCTATCCAGCATATGTCCCCATCAAAGCCCATCTGATAGCCTTCTAAGGAAAGGAAAGATGGTTTGTGCAGGAGAAGGGCTTGAGGGTTCAAGAGTTCCCATTTATATCTGTTTTTGTCGGTAGCTTCCACATTGCGGTGGGGTGAAAAACTCAACCGAGCATGTAAATATTTGCGTTTTCAATATCCCTGAACATGTGTGTAAGACGCTCTAGCGCTGTCATTTTATACTTCATTTACTTTTCATTTAATTTGCAATTCTTTCATTGAGCACTTGGTGCAATTAAAATGCCATAGGACTAACAACAATTTTTTCTGTGAGCAGCTCGAGAGCTACTAAAAATCCTTTTTTACGATTGTCATAAAGACGCTTTGCTCGCCCGACTTTCTCCACCCCAACAAAACCTTACCAAAACAATGACGCCTCGTTTAGCGGCTGGCAGCGAAAACAGCGAGGCATCGTCGAGTTTTTAATTAAAATGTATTTCGTCCTTTCCTCTCTGCTCAGTTGGAAAAATATTTTGGTAAGCTTTAAGTGTTGAGGCAGTCAAATGACTGCAATCCTTTAACAAATTAATTTTCAGCCTCAAATGAGCGCCAGCTGCCTTTAATGGCTTGTTTTCACCCTCTCAAATTAGGGAACTCAACCTAAATGGCAGAAAACGATATATTAATATTAAGCCGAGCTAGGCGTCACTTGTCAATTCGGTGAATAAAATCTTCGGGTAAGGACGTTGAGTATTAATAGATGCCTTTGGAACTAACTAATATAAAAATATATTTCAACGTTCTATGAGTGAAACATAAGGGTTATGTTTCATTCATAGAACGTTGGTCTAATTTTAAAAAATTCTAGTCAGAAACAATGAAGAAAAATGAGCA